CTCACAAGCAGTCCATGCCAAATATGTTCTGTTAAGCACTTGAGTTTTGCTCCTACACATTCCTTCATTGGACAGATCCTTCTGGAGTAAAGAGGGAGCAAGAAAGAGTGGCAGAAAGGGATGGGATGATGCCCTAATTACATCAAAGTATTATTTTGGGCAACCTTCAAAAGTGTATTCTTACAAGATGTTCCATTGGTCTCATTTTGCAGACAAGTTTATTCCGAAGTCGAACCAATACTTTGTTCTGTGAAAAGATGCTTTCTAAACTGATGATACTGTATACAGTCTTGGCTCTTAAGTCAAGTAAAGATTGCTTTAATTCCACATACTGTTAAGCCAGACAGGAAAACCTATCTGCTATGTTGGTTGATCTATTTTAGTTTCTAGAAAGCTCACTGACAAAGCAGCAAAATGGAGGTTAAATACACACAGAACTTAAGCACTTGGGTGAGGAGAAGAGCTACTCTTTAATTAATTAGTTAATAGCTGAAAACAAAGCAAAGATATCAGAGTCCCTATAGATTGCTTTTGAGGGACTTAATTCAGGAGCTAAATTCTAGGAATTATAAAGCCCTGCTCTAACAAAGCCATCCTGAACCAGATACTTAGACAAAACCCAAGTCTGAAGGGTTCAAAAAGCAAATGTATAGGCCTAAATTAACTAGAGCAGGTCTAACTTAGAGGGCTAAGAGGAGGAGACATTAACCATGACTATTGCTTTGCAAGGACAAACTCTATGGCACCAATGATAAAGTGTCTCAATGCCAGTAATCTGGCATTCAGATTTAAAGAAAAGAAGTTAATAATAATGTAACTATTCCTACAAATTTAGCAGGAGGATACAGAAGCCCAAGCAGCCAAACTATTTTGGGATTGTGAAAGAGGTGTTTACAGTTACGCACCAGGTGAAGAAGGTAGTTAGGGAGATGTGGTTGTTTTTTCCTCTCTCAAAATATTAGAGCATATTATCAGCATCAATTGCTGATGGAGATGGAGGACAAAAAGAAAAGTCATCCCACAACACAAATTACAAGAATGGAATGTGGCAGAAGATATACCAACATACAACACTGATGTTTTGAAAAGGAGACTAGAAAAATTCATGAAGGGTGAGACTCTTAATGGTGTGTAAGCTCCTGGTAATGGAGTACTGTTTGGTCAATTCATTTTCATTTTTTTTAAAAAAGCAACATCTGCTCTGGGTTTACCATTCTGCTTAAGAAATTTTGTCAAATCCACATCCTGTGCCTTTTAAGAAAGAATACATGGCTTTAAAGTAATGTGGGACTGGCCAGTGACAAAAAAAAAATTGCAGTTCTGTTTAGCAGACATCTCTAAAGCAAATGAATATATTTATCTAAATAAATTTAACAATTATTTATGAATAATTTATGTTTAACGTAACGATTAGAACTATTGTTTTGTTTTGTTTTTATATATTGGAGTTAAAGTATTTAAAATTTTGTTTTTGAATGTATTTATAATTGTTTGATGTTTATTTAAGTTGTAAGGTTTTTTCTAGTTTTTATTAACCCTGTATTCAGCTCTGGGAAGGAGGGGGGAGGGTGATGGGGGGGAAGGGGGGGTGGGAGAGGGGGATTATTTTATTGTAAAACTGTAAAAATTTTCAATAAAAAAATAATAAATTTAACAAGGAATGCATTTGTGTTATCTAACAAAAGTAATTTCTCCTATCTTACTGAAAAATACACAGAGGCCTTAACATGGTTCTGTTGATTGTATTTTTTAAAGGTACATTATGGCTAAAATCGAAGTATTTGTTTAATGACCAAAGACTGCTTGATCTTATCAAGATCCTGTATTCATCCTTCATCTCTGATATGATAAGGCAGGACAGTTTACTGAAGTCTTCCCCAGGTCCAGGGAATAGGGAAGGATAATTTCTAGTTTTTTCTCAAATTATACTTGATTCAAAAATGTATTAAATAAGCCTGAACCATATTTACCAGGATCTGAAAAGGGGAACATTTGTGTTTTAAGCATAAGCATCTTTTTGATATAGACCTGGACTGTATGAGTTAACTGAATTATTAAATGATTGTAAATGGTCATTTTTTTTCACATTTTAGAATAATTCCGTAGGGCTAAATTATGCAAAATGAAAGGTTAGAATCGCCACAAAGATAAGCAACTCAGAGTATAGGTCAAAACTTTCCTGTGTTATTTTTCTCACTGATGTAAATTATGCTTTCCAGAAACTCTGGGGTTTGAAACTGCTTGTTTCTTTTAAAAGGAATCAATATCTCTGCACTGTTATTTAAGCTTTTAATGCTGAAGTTAACCTCTCACCTCCTTTATGGTGCTCCCATTTGGATCCAGAGAATGCCTTCAGATGTGAATTGCAGCAAGCTGGTTTCTTGTATGCCTATTTACGGTTCCCAAAATGTATTTCCAATATAGTCATTTTATTGGAAACAGGACAATCTCCTTTAGAGATCAGGGCTGTTGTGCTTGCTGAGAGGACCTATTTTTAGGATAGCCCCAGATTTATTTCCTTATCTCCCAGCAGAGGGCCACAATTTCTCCTAGCTCAGTGTTTCTCAACCTTGACAATTTTAAGGCATGTGGACTTCAACTCCCAGAATTCCACAGCCAGCATTGCTGGCTGTGGAATTCTGGGAGTTGAAGTCCACATGCCTTAAAATTGTCAAGGTTGAGAAACACTGTCTAAATTTGGAAGCCCAAGAAGCTATTGAATTGAGCAACCATCCACTGCTTCTCTACCTGAGCAAGGGATAATTCTGGGAATATTTCTCTTCCAAGCTACTGAGTTTATGCTCATTCATCATGCACCAAGCTCTTTTGGCATTTTTTCTGAAAAGATGTTTCACGCCAGTTTCTTATCTTAATAGACTGCTTGCAATTGATTTTCAAACCCTTGTTTGGCACAACTGAATGTATAGGTAGTCCTCAACTTATGACCACAACTGGGATCAGGATTTCCATTGCTCAGCAAGGCAGTTGTTAAGTGAGTCCTGCCCAACTTTACAATCTTTTTTGTCATAGTCGTTAAGTGAATCACTGCAATTAATGTGGCCATTACGCAAATCTGACTTTGCACATCTAGGAAGGTCACAAATGGCAATCACGTGACCCCAGGATGCTGCCACCATTACAAATACATGGTGATTGCCAAGTGGCAATCCATGGCTATTAGCACGAGGCAACAATGATTGTCTCATAGGATAGGGTTTATCTGGGTCACTGCACACACACACACACACACACACTCTCTCCTCCTCCCTCCGTGTGTGTGTGTGTGTGTGTGTGTGTGTGTGGTTTTGTTGCATTTATTTGTTTGCTTGTTTGCTATGAACTGTCAATTGAGGTAATTAAAAAGAAGATAACTCCATTTGTAGAGCTATTTTTCTCACAATGAACAGGGGACCAAAATATAATTCATAGCTTAAATTGTGTGTACCATTATTACTGTCTATGGTAAGTGCTACACATTTAAGTCCCTATGATCTTAAGAAGTGATTGGAAAAGGATTTGTCTGAAATGGTGTAAGGTCTCCTGTTTGAGCAGAGAAGACTCTGTTATTCTGTTTATTCTGACACAAGTACCTTCTTCAGCAACTTCTCATATTTGTTTATTTAATTTTAATAAATAAAATTTAAATTTAATTTCTCACGATCTAATACTTGGATAAGAACACGCAGGGTGTTGTCTGGTCTATTTGGTCTACTATTGCCAGCTTTAGGAGTTGGTTGTTTTCTAAAGTTAAAGAGTGACACTATTATCAGTGTTGGGATTCAAATACCTGAACATCCGGTTCTCTGTATGGATGCAGGCCTGGACCTCCAAGGCCTAAAATGGACTTACGGAAGTGACATCCACACACTTCCTGTGGGCCATTCTAAGCCTAAGTCCAGCCTCCCAGGCCTAGAATGGACTTCCAGAAGCAGTGTGGGTTCAACCGTTTCTCCGAACTCAACAAAATTTAGCTACCGGTTCTATTGAACTGCTGAGGACCGGCTGAATCCCACCACTGACTATTTCCCATCACTTGCAAAACAATTCTCTAACTGGAAATGAGGCAGATGATATCCTAGCCTTTTAATATGCAAATCAGGGCATTCTTCAATCATGGCCTTTCTTTTCTTTGCAGCCTTTTGAAAACTTTGTAGTGAGGAAGTTATGCTATCCAAATTGATAGGATTAGGGAAAAAAACCCCAATATGTTGGGATAAAATTAAACTGGTTTTAATTGACATTATTATTTTCCATGTGATATGTTCCAAATCTACATAATTTACATTTTTTGCAATAAATTATTCAGTAGTTGCAAATCTAAACTCCAGATTCTGAGAGTCTGCATCCTATGTCATAGTATCTCTTTTTTTGGTGAAGATACTAACAGACTTGAATAAAATTGCTCAAATATCAGATTTTACACAAGAGAATTTTGGCATTTTGTTTCTTTCACTGTGGAAATGTTACATAGAATGTTGGCACATACAAAGCAATCCACTAAAAGAGTTTGAAGCAACCTAGGCTTTCCTATAAACAAAATCCTTAGTTACTTGAAACAAAAGTTTTCTACTTAGGGTGTTCATGGTAATTTTTCATTTGTGTTCCCCCAAATATTATTACCATGATAGATGCATCTCTCCAATAAGAAAGTGAGTTTGAATAAAATGAAACTTTAAATGCCCAGTTTAGGGGCTGGTGGTGGATCTGTGCCCCAGGGGTTTTCCATTTGGTTCTGGCCAAGCCTAATGAAATTATACACTTAAAAAAGCAAAATGTGCACAACCTTTTATAAAACTGGCAATGTAACGAAAAATAGGCAAAGAAAAATAGATGTCAATTATGTTTTATCTAGTATGTTCAATCTTTTTATGTTTAATGACTGCTTTCTGTATATTGGTCATAGTTTTTAAACAACATTTATATTATTGCATTGTAAGTATAAATATTAATATTTCTTATATTTAAATATATTTATACTATTAAACAACAGCTAAATCTGCAGAGCTCTTACAGGCTGCTAGAAATTCCAATATTACAGCCACTTAACAACATGCATATCTCCTGCTTTAAGGTATTTGTTGGTACTATGGTTTTCACCAAGGTCACAGCTGCTTGGTTGATTCTCAGCTGAACTAGAGATATAGTGCATTTTTGCAGGCCTATTTATTTCTTTGTATCCATTTGGAACACAGGATATAAAAATTGGAATAAGATGTATGCCAATGACAGGAATATTTTTTACAAGGTGCAGCACAAAGCTTACAAAAAAACTATTACATGAAAAAAAATCCCATTATTTGTTTGGTGGGATGGCAGTGCCCTTGTTATTTTATTTATTATTTATTGAATTTGTATGGCTGCCTATCTCACAGAATGATCATAGGCGGTTCACCACATGGCATCTCAAACTAGCATCCTCAATTTTCCCAGGCAGCTCATGACTACAATTGTTTCCCAGCTTATATGGGGTTTATTTGGGGCTTAGGTTTAGGTTTAGGGTCACACAAATGTAGAGGAAAATACATGCTATCATGTGTGAGGACCTGGCTTATTTTGTCATGATTGCAGCCCTTTTGACGGCCTGTATTTAAAAAAAATAGCTTTCCTAATAAATCCTGAACATGCTGAAAAGTATGTCTCTATGTGTATTCTGTTCACATGTAGCTTCTTGTGCATGTTTTTCTATGCTAAAGATTCACAAACGAAAGACAAAAAACTAAGCATAAAACGACCCTTGCACAGATCCTTGGAGAAAATGAATATGTTCAGGAAAGCAAGAGTTTACTAAAGAGGATTTTCTCACATTTTAAAAATAATGAAAAAATAATCTTCAAATACAATTGGGAACCTTTTCTACTGAATTTTGTGGAATATTTTTCATCTTGGGAATGCATTTTTGTGTGGCCAAACTGATAAGCAGATGGGCTGTCCAGGAACTTACATCCACATATTTTGCCAGCTAAATGTACAGAAATCAAGAGGGAAAACATTACAAGAAAAAGCCTATCACATTTACATGCAAAAGAATTACAGGTCCACTATTTAATGATCTTTAAAATGGGTTAAATTCTAGTAAAATACGGGGGGGGGGAGTGTGAGGAGGTGAGGAAATGAAATAATTTATAAGCAGGGGAGTAAAATTCTACGAAACATCTGATTATAGCTCTAATATATTGCTTTCCTGCTTCAAAGTAATAGATATGCAGTAAGTGCCCAGTATCACCTTGAAAGAAAACCTCATAGTAATAATAAAAAGCAAAGGTATATATGGTTGTTCTCCAAATTTCCTGTTCAAGTTCTTGCATAACCCTCATACTGCTTTTTAAATGGCTTGAGATCAAATAATTGATTTAGAGACATGTTGCAAGTTCTTCAGAAAGAAATGGGGGGAATTGGCCCGGCATGCATCAGCAGCTCCTCATACTAGCTGGGGGTGGGTAAACTTTGCACATGCATGTGCATGGTGCTCACTGTGCTCAAAATCTCATTGCAGTTTAAGATGATTTAGCAGTAGAGCTACATAAAGATAAGCACAGAAGAGCACAGACTTCCCTAATCTATCAACAAGGTGCAGAACTTTAAAAATCCCAAACAAATCAAAATTGTAATTGAACATTAAGCTGTAGCTAAAAAGTTTCTCCCAAAGAACTTTCCCTCATATGGCACAGCTGTGTCTTATTAAAATATGTATTGTGTGTACCACAGGTGATACAATTACTCATAATATGGATTCACTTAATGCTGTTCATTAAACATGCAAAATTCATTGCATGATGCATATTCAAAAATGTATTCAACAGCTTGCAACAGCAGTTGAAGAAAACTTATTCCATGTTAGGTTTTCACTTTGATTTCTTTGATTCCATGTTATTCTAAACCAATCAGTTAAAATCTGAATATATAGTTTTTAGAAACATTCCTTAATGATTTCGGGCTTGACTCTGAATTCTACATCTCTATTAATTTACTGTACACTTTTTATATTCTATTCATGCAGTTTACTAAATAAATAAATATAAGTTGAAGAGTTAGGGATGTGTAGATTGACTTCCGAGCCCAGTTAAGAAATATTTAGGATAAAATATTAAAACTGGCTTTACAATAAACATGGTTAGAGATGTAAATTAAATAGCAAATTGGCACCCTGGATCATAATATAATCTCATGGAGATTAAAAATAATACATATATCAGTATTATGCAGTTTTACCTTGGAGCTAGTTCATCAGAGGCGCTAGTTAGTATTCATCGTATGCACATAATTTTTATTTTATACTGAAAACTTTATATTGAAAACTTATATGAAACCTCTACCTTGATCCAGTAATTTTAAAAGCTCTTATGGGCCTTGTTTGTTCATATGTTTGTTTTATCATAAACCTGGCCAACTGTAATATTGAAGAAAATTTTCTGGATTTCCCTTTATTACATCCCCCCCCCCCAGCCCCAGCCCCTTATTTTTCAGTCAACTTACATTTTCATCTCTTTTTTCCTTAACCCCACATGATAGTCTCAGATTCATAATTAACTGTTTAAGAAGAAGTTTTCAGAGGTACAGGAGATAGAGAAAAATAGTCAAAGTTATAAAAATGACAAAGGCTAGCAGTAATCTATAAGCATCAGTGATTCCTAGATAAATACACTGGGTGATCTTCTATGTCCACATGTTCCTCGGCATCTTCCCATCCTCCTTACCCCTACAATTCCCAGACCCAAATGGAATCAACAAGGCAAAGGTCTAAAAACTCCAGGGCTAAGGGCAATTTCTGGGGGGGGGAGCTTTCCTGAGTCTATTGTTTTCATACTTCACACTGTAACATGGGATGTACAAACTGCGGGTTGACATAGGAGAATCCCTCAAAATCTGTTTGGTCTATGTTAGAAATGACCAGCTGATCAGGTGGCGTTAATACTGGTTGTCCTCTGGTAAAGAATTTGTCGAAGTTTTCGGCGCCCTTGCCACACTGCAATTAAAAAAAAAAAAGAGAGAGAGAGATTTACAAATTGGAAAGCAACCTTAAGTAAACAGATGATAGATTACTTAAAAACTCTAATCTGCTCTGAGGATCATAGAGGGGAAGAACATTTTTTTGGTCTTGAATGAAAGGTCTTTAATAATATTCTTGGTAGTAAAAGTCACAACTGTCTTGGGTATTATATACAGGTGGATGAAAACTAAACCTGGTGACTGGGAATATGAAAAAAAAGAATTCTTGTGCTGACTAGGCTACCTGGTCCAACAATGGTGATCATATTTAGACTTCATATGCAATATTTTTATTTGCAAATTACATATCTTTATTTGATTGTACATCTAGGACCTAGTTATGTGCACAAAATATTTATATTATAGAATTTCTGCATTCCAATTATTACATATTTGGGAATACTGTTACCAGTCAGAAACATTCCAGCCTGGTGAACCATGGGAAGTCTGTACAGATTGGGGTGATATATTAAACAAAGTGAGATGAAATGGAATGGGTGGTAGAAATGTTTCCTGATTGGTTAGACTCTTCCCATATAGGAAAATGACTTCAACAGAAATGTTTCAAGATGTATTATCATTTAGGTTAAATCAAATCCCACTGTATTAAAAACATGCAATGCCATAATTTTGAAATCCTTTAAAAATTAATTTCACAGGCTTTCTGTTTCATGTTACTGATCTGTGTGGGGAGATTTACATACTGACTGTGCTCTCCCCCAGGTCATTCTTGCTCTAATATTCCAACATTCCAACAGGAACCCTGGCATTCAGAGGACAATATTCCCCTTATACATGAAATGGTAACTGCTGTTGCTCACAGCTGTCTTGCAGGGAGTATTGCCACGAACACATTCATTTTTCTGCCAAATGCACACTCTTAATTTCTGGTTGCAGCAATCAACTGAAAAATGGTTCGAATAATATATACTATGGATTTTTTTGTTGTGTTTTCAAAGGACAAACTACTTCATAGCAATCAAAAAAGGTTTTAACATGATGGGAATTATTGTTCAATTCCAGCCCACGTACTAAAAATAAATTCTTTACAGATTACTTCTTTCACATCCCCAGTTTATTCTGTTCCATTTTTTAAAAAATGGTACTACATCTCCTCCCAACATTTTTAAAAGCCCGTCTTGGTACAAAATGTAATTCAAGATCTTCTCTGTTGCCCACACTAAAGCAGAAAAAAACAGCCTTAAGTACCTAGTGATTGTATGAAAAATAATTCAATCAAACTCTTCAAAAGTACAAGTGCTACTTAATTTTAGAAATATATTACTACTGGTACTTTATGTCAATGTGGGATTTTTTTTTTTGACATGTTAAATCATATATATTTCAACAGAAAAAGAATAACTACTGGGAAAGGAAAAAATGAATTCAAGAGCTACCATTTAACAGTGACAGATTTTTGAGAAAGTGGGAAACATCACCCAAACTACACTTTCTGAACTATGAAGTTTCCTCTTACACTTCCAGCCATCTGGGAATCCAATAAGACAGGTCTTTTAGGATAATGACTTCAAGATGATCTCACTCGGGAAATAAAAAAAGGATGACTACATACAAATGGATTAGAAGGCACCCATTAATTCCACTAACTGATATGGAATATATCCCCATGCTTAAAAGAGTAAGATATTATTAAAGAATAATCTTAGCTCTAGAAAGGGCCAATGTACAGTTAAGTATTAATCCCATGGAATAGCAGTCTTCCAATTCCACAAGAAAGGGGGATGTCAACCTATTTTCCAAAGCACTTGAAGGCAAAACAAGAAGCAATGGATGGAAACTAATCAAGGAGAGAACCAACTTAGAACTAAGAAGAAATTTCCTGACAGTGAGAAAAATTAATCAGTGGAATGACTTGCCTCAGGAAATTGTGGATGCTCCAGCACTGGAAGTTTTTAAGAAGACATTGGACCACCATTTGTCTGAAGTGGTATAGGGTCTCCTGTTTGAGCAGCGGTTTGGACTAGAAGATCTCCAAGGTCCCTTTCAATTCTGTTATTCTTTTTTTCTGATAGATTTTTACACACCCATTGTCCCCTGATTTTACCACAGCTTTCTGACTGATAAAGAAATATCTAAATAAAATATCTACATAAAATAAAACTTGGCTTTTGTTATGAGACCATAAACACCAAATGCTGAAAGAAACATTACTGTCCATCTTATTTACCACTTTCGGTTTGAATGGAGGCTGGATGTCTCTGTTTTCCAGTCTGTCCCAATCAATTCTCCTAAAGAAGGCATGTTCCCTAATGTCTCTCTCTCCTTCGGGCCCACAGCCAAGACGTTTGCCAGGGTGTTTAGTCATTAACTGGAAACCAAACATATAAAGTTGCAATGAGATTTTTCAGAATGAGAGGAGCAGCACACAATCAAGTAATCTTTTCCTTAATATCTGCTGCTGTTAATCCTAAATGTCATACTGTATTCCTAAATTCCAAATTGGTTGCTGTTTTGTCTAAATACAGATGAAAGGCAGATTTTTCCACTATGGTAGAAATTCAATTTTTGTTAATGTCAACAAGCAAAAAAAAAAAAAAGGAGAGAGAGAGAGAGAGAGATTTGAAGAAAGAACAGATACGTTTTTGAACCCAGAATTACTAAGTACTATCACTTAAAAATGTTCACTTGATTAGACAATGGTAGCTGAAAAAAGTACTTATTAAGATATATATTTATAGATCTCTTTCTTCCCACTGTTATACAAAAATAGATGTCCTTCTTAGATATAAAAACAATTTTCTTCTTCCATCAAGAATTAAATAGGTAGCATTTTTAAAAAATCTATATTTAAATATAAAAAAACCCAACTGACCACAAAAAAGGTTGAGAAAGTGTATTTTTTAAATTTTTGAATGAAAATTTTTATTTTTTAAATTCATTCTAAAAACATGAGCTTCAGTTATTGTAACAACAAGGAAAAGAGGAATATAGCTATCTACAGAGCAAATCATGAAAACTATGCAGGCCATCTAACATTTAAAAAAGCTTTACATAGGGAGGAATACATTTTATTAACTATTTTGATTATATAAAAGTGAGCCCTAGTGACAAATATTTTAAAAAACCCAGATACGTTAGGCCAATTCTCTTATAACAGTGCTTAATAAAATATCTAAATTTATTTTACCACATAGTAACTGATGAATGCTTAATATTGTCATCATAAATTTATATGACTCAAAATAAATACAGTAACATCTCAGATCAGTGAACCTTACAAGCGTCCTGGATATCAACGCTCAAGCGGTCATTAAATCCCTAAAATGGTTGGCCAAGAATAAAAAGACATTCCAATTAGAAAAAAAATACTTAATAATGGTCTGGCGCACAGCCAACAAGAGAGCAGAATTTGAGTTCCTGGATTCTACAGTAAAATATGGGTGATTTCACTCAATACTGCACTCAGAAATGAAACGCATATATGTTGCCTTAAACAGACAATCATATTTCCCATCTCAGGTCCAGTATTTAGCGCTTCTAATTGAGAGGACAGCTCTTTGGGACCCCACTTTCAAATTATCTTATTTCCTTCAGGGTATAAATAGACTACCAACTTCAAAACTAAAGCCATCTAATGGATTAGGATTAATTGCAGAGATGATAAATGCATTTGAATATTTTACTTTTTTTGCAAGTTAATACATTGTATCTATTTTGTTTTATTATGTCAGTACCATATTATGAATTGATATGGTTGTTAGACTGCAGTGATCAACAGAATGAACAATAGAACCTTACCCCTTTGCAGATGGACACGGCTTCTTTGGACATTGCCTTGGGATAGGAAACATTATGTTCCATTATTGACTGAAAGAGTTCATCTTCATCCTCCCCATCAAATGGAGGCTGTTCAAAGAAAGCAAAGTTGACAGGACATTCAAAAATGAATGCCTACCCTGAGCATTTATTCAAAGGCAGATTATTATTTCCTGCTGCCTCAGACTACCCTTTGATCAAATTAACTGGGGAAGCTAGGAGTTTGGGGAAAGGATGGATAACATCCTGTTGAGTTGTAGGACAGAGTCTTTCCTTTTTTGGGGGTGGGAATGGAAGAGACAATGTTTTATGCTATTTCAAAGCTTTAGGTTGGCAGTCCAACCAAGTGTGCTGGCCTCATATCTGATGCCCTGACTGTTGGGAAATGATGGTCTCCTTGCTGCTTAGCTTCTAGGATCCCTGGATGACATTACCTGGAATTTTGGAATCCAGTGTCACCACGATGCTGTGTTCTGACTCTCTCAATCTCAATCTAAAGAAGCTGTTCAAGTTTTTAAAAGGAGCTGTTGACTATGCGGTCACTATATGAAGGGAGAGCAATTGAAACATTGTCTGTTTTGGGGTATAATTCAAAGCGCAGACTCCACAAATGAAGCCTATCACTGATTCTTCTACTGATAGACAGTTTGCAACTAATATGGCTTGTTTATTTTTAATTAATGTGTGATGTGCTAATGTGTGGCTTATATGAATAAATCATACTTCAGTATTTGACAATATTTGAAAATATAATTTGAAAACAATATATGAATAAAGTAATATAGTTGGATTTCTGGCTTTTGTCTGCATGATCCTCAATCTGAAGAATTGCAAGACAAAGAGTAGCTAAAGAAGGAAAACAAGTCAGGAGTTGGCCAACAAATTAAACATTATTTATCTGGTTCATCTACAACAGAGGTCTCCAAACTTGGCAACTTTAAAATCTTGTGGATTTTAATTCCCACAACTCCCCACCAGCAGAAATCCACAAGTCTTAAAATTGTCAAGTTTGGAGACACCTGATCGTCAAGACTGACTTGTTCAACATCATATTTTAAGACAAAATATTATTTAGATGATGCATGGACATAGCCATTGTTTGCATTGTATCACTGAAATCTTGCAGTTTCAATTTCCAGAGAATATTCAATTGGTCTGTTAATTTGAAATGTAGCTATTAATCTTTATTTTTAATGTGTCTTATTTTGTCTTTCATTCCTAACTCATTTAATTGTTTAAGGCTTACATCATGAAATGGACCTAGCCATTCTTACCTGACCAGCCAGCATCTCATATAAAAGTACTCCGTAGGCCCACCAGTCCACTGTCTTCCCATATGGTTGATAGGCAATAATCTGTTAATTCCAATAAAAAGATTTAGTAATGTATCTTGAAAATATGTTTTTGAAAAAGATACAACATAAATCTAAGTATACCACTATAAAAAACAACTATACTAATAGCACAGTGCATTAAAGTGAACCTTTTTTAATGCTTTAATATCTGAAATCATGGATATTTTTATACTATAAAGTACTATATCTGGTAGTATTTAAGCTTAATTGTTTTAAGGAAAACAGATTTCCTGAACTAGCCTAGCCAATTAAACTTGAGGGAGTAGATTTGCCCCAAGAGCCCTGGATTTGTTTGGCATTATTCTATTCTTCACTATTATGTGTATCCTTGTTTATTTGTTTCCTTTTGGTTTGGTTATGAATGCCGCCCCAAACCCTTTGGGACCAGGGTGGATTATACAAGCTGTAAAATAAACAAACAAACAAGCAAATTCATTACAGGTAGTCCTCGATTTACAACCATCCATTTAGTGACTATTTGAAGTTACAACAGTACTGAAAAAAGTGACTTATGACCCCCCCATGGTCACGTGATCAAAATTCGGCCATTTAGTGATTGGTTCATATTTATGACGGTTGCAGTCTCTGGGGGGGATGTCATGTGATCACCTTTTGTGACCATCTGACAAGCAAAGTCAATGGGGAAGCCAGATTCACTTAACAATCATGTTGCTAACATTACAACTGCAGTAATTCACTTAACAACCGTGGTAAAGAAGGTCATAAAATGGGGCAAAATTAATTTAACGACTGTATTGCTTAACAACGGAAATGTTGGGCTCAATTGTGGTTGTACATCAAAGGCTACCTGTACTGTATAAGAAGTAGACCAGGGATTTTTCCACAATGTAGTTTTGATAAAATGCTCATTTGAGGCACAGGTTTCAGTGGAAATTTATAGGTATAATCAGAAAATCAGTTTCTGAGTTTTATCAAAAATATTACTAAAATGCTCATTACAAAAGAAGAAATAAAGATCCAGAATGGCAGAATATCACAATTTAATATTAATATTTAGCTACTATCTTTTCTGAGACTCCAAAAAGGCTTTAAAAATATGATAGTTTGCACATTTTAAGTGAATTTTCATTTATATTTTAATTTGAAATATACACAAATGCAAAATAGCGGTAACTAATTCATAAAAGGGAATAATAGGTGCTATTCAAGACACTAATTTCAAGAACATTATTTCAAAACATGAGCCACTGGAAAAATGATTTATTCTCTTTCTAAAGAGAATAAAGAGAAACAGAATGAAAATCTAAGATGAAAGAAGAAGGATTTTCCATTTTTTGGCTTCACAATATTGAAAGCATTATAGCAATATAATGATGCATTTAAAACGAATCATGATGTGGATTTACTTCCTTCTAAAAAATGAACCAGTCCTGGCTAACACTAATTCAAGATACAATGAGATGAGGTCAGATTTCACCCTGGGATCTTAGTCACTGTGGGGTTCTTGGTGCTCTCTGAGCCTGGTTGGGTTTTTTTTTTTGCAGGCATTTCATTAGCCAGCTAGGTAACAACATCAGTGCTAGAAGGGAGTTACCTAGTTGGGCAATGAAATGTCTGCAAGAAAACAACCAAGCCCAGAGCGCACCAAAGACCTCACAGTTCAATTCTGAGCAATAGCTATTCTCTTCTATCTATAGTCATTATGGTTAAATATTTCCTTTGTCACAAACCTGGGCATAAGCATTAAGTACAAAGTGTGATGAGAAAAAAATGATGAAATTTTCATCATGATGCAAACTGTAGCCTTTCATATTTTAATGCATCCTTATGTTACATACAAGTATGTAAGCCAGAGGCTTGAACTGTAATATCACAGTATAGATTTCCTCATAAAGTGCCACCAACTTTCCCCCCCACCTACGCCCAGAGACACCTTAAGAGATAATGTAGAGTGATAGTCATTTTATCCACTTCCCCATCATTTTTCCTTACTAACTGGAGAGCAGCAGGAAACCTGAGTAAGTTAATCAACATTTATCATCTTTCTCATTTCCTTCATCAAATAAACAATCGTGTCAGAAAATCTAGCACTGATTGATTGTTCAAAAGTACATTATCTTCTGGAAGAATTATGGGCATGGTACATAATATCTCAACCAACAAATACCTCTGGTGCAATATAATCTGGAGTCCCACAGAAGGTCCTTGTTGTCACTGCATCACTCATATTCTCCTTGCACATGCCAAAGTCTGCAATCTTAATATGTCCTTCAGAATCTAACATTACATTATCTAATTTCAGATCTCTATGAAAAATCACAACAATTAAGAAAGTTAAGCATCAGTTGTCAGAAATGCTTGTGGCAGTCTCATTGCAAGAAATAACTTAGAATTAGGGTAACACAAAGACCATGTTTTCCTTTGCAAACCTGATGATCTACTGAGAAGGCTATGGACAACTTATTTATAGGTGCCAAGAGAAATGATTGGAGGGCACAATGGAGCATGTTGCCACTGTGTTGCTTATATAACTATACAAATCCAACTGTGTCTCTTAAATACCCCTGTACTATACTATATATAAATAGGGACCAAACCCCACACTCACTTGTAATGATGATGTTACCTAGTTGGGTAATGAAGTGTCTGCACGAAAACAGCCAAGCTCAGAGAGCACCAAAGACTCCAGAGTTCAACCCTGAGCTACATATATTCTCTTATATTGTATGTCTTAAATACATACCACTCTCTCCTCCTATCGAGATATATTGGGCAAGTCCTTCAGTGAAGTCAGATTTGGGATTGAATGGACAGGCTTTGGGGTCCAAACACCTATAAAATTTACTTCATGGTCAAGCATACTAGTCCATGAAGATAAATTGCCTTCATTTTGCTATTGCTCATTTTATCTGCAAGGCTGATGCTTTTGGATATTTCACTTCTGCATCTCTTGTGATGATATTTTATTTAAATGTATAAAATACAACTCAAATCTAACTTGATTGCTGTACTTTATGAGATCTATTGAGAGCAATAAACGACGTGAGTACATTTTTTTGTCTTATTATGCTTATACAAAAAGCCTTTTATATGTTTTGCAAATCTTATAGTACTGAAGACTTCTGTTAGTGCACCAAGTTGAATAAGCAACTGTGAATAAAAATAAATATGTTTAATATGTTCTGTTATTTGGGAAAATAATTGTTCCCAGTTCAGTGCTTTCTTCCCCCAATTTTGCCCACAAACATTTCTTTTTTTATAATCGGTGATAAATTTGTGTTGTTACACACAGCTGCTCTACTTACCGATAAACGATTCCTTTCTTATGGAGAAAAAAAAGACCCACTGAGATTTCTGCTGCATAGAATCTGAAAAGTAAAAGACTCGAGTTAATCAAAAGAACTTCACCTGTATATACAAGATCTGAATAATTTACGATCATCCATTCAGAAAAGTTCCTTCATGCCATTGGACTTCATAGAGTAGGGTTGTGTGGACTGGTCTTTTCCTCTCCAACAAGTTCCCACTTGTAGATTTTGACACACTATAAAATTTGGAGGCTATTGCACCATTCGCCTTGCATGATTATAACATCTGGATTGCCCTGGATTCTAGGTTGCAAAGAAAACTTTCCCAAAGAGATCAGGCCCCTGATGTAAATATTCACATTGCAGTATGTGGAGGAAAACATGCATACCTCCACAGTCATCTCACTGGGCAAAAGCAAGGATGCTTACACAGGATTATGGGTCGAGATTAACACAATGGCTGAAAGTCACAGGAGATTCCATTAATGCTATGACTCGATGTCCTGTTATTTACAAGAGAATAGAATAGAATACATTATTTGGCCAAGTGTGATTAGACACAAGGAATTTGGACAAATGAGGACAAATGCTTAGATGCCTAATCCTAACCACAATAAAATCTTAAATTCAAAATCTAAAATCATATAGTAATGTGTTCTACAAAGAACAGAGTGAATATGTTTTGCTACAACCAGCCCAAATCAGTCTCCTGAGCAACTTCAGGCAGGTTATATTTCCTTTTCATTCTGAATTTTGGAAGGTTCCAACATATTCAATACTATACTTTGAAGCATCCCAAAGGTGCTTTTTCAAGAGGCAACTGGACTTTGTTTTTCTTTGAAGACATTTCGCTTCTCATCCAAGAAGCTTCTTCAGCTCTAACTGGAGGGGGGGGGAATGGATTTATATTCCTTGCAGATAGTTTGTCATTTGCATTCTTTTAGTGAGTCGTTGATGCCACCTGGAGGTTTGTATGTGTCCTCAGGGTCACCTGAATAGTGCAAATGGGTATGGAGCCTGCTTGGAACTGTTGAAAGGACTGTGTTGTGGAGCTGTGCTTTCTGCAGGATGTTTTCTGCCCTGGGTCCCTTCATTGCTGAACACAGGCGCAAGCTCTATATTGTCTGCATCTCAAACTGAAGAGCAAATGGTTCCTGTAATCCAGAAAAATTGCAGACTACAGGAACCATTTGCGCTTCAGTTTGAGATGCAGACAACACAGACTCATCACCAACAGCCTGCACCTACATCTCCAAAGACATGTACTTTGAGACAGTGATTATCCCATTCTTCCTCTATCCTAATTTCATGGCTTCTCAGCAAGCAAGAGGAACAAGTCTTCTGCATCCTAAAGGTCTTGATAGCAATAGCACTTAGACTTATATACCACTTCCCAGTGATTTACAGAGCGGTTTACAGAGTCAGCCTATTGCCCCCAACAATCTGGGTTCTCATTTTACCGACCTCGGAAGGATGGAAGGCTGAGTCAACCTTGAGCTGGTCAGGATTGAACTCCCGGCAGTAGAATGCAAAGTTAGTCTGCAATACAGAATTCTAACCACTGCGCCACCACGGCTCCTTGATGCAATATCAGTGCCTTCTGAAGCAAGCTCTAACCCTAGAAATTTCTAAAAGAGAGCCCAAGGAGTTCAGAATTGCTAAATAAATAAATAATTTATTTTATTTGGCAAGGAAAAAAAGTCAGAATTAGATTGAAAATGCTACAAGAAGCTAAAGAAAACAGGATTTGGGCTGCCAAATATGGGTTTTATACTATCAAGCATCTGTATTAACATGGTTAAAAGAATGGATAACCCTTAGACATAAAAGATTACTATATCTAGAAGGGCATGACCTACAACTTGGATGGCATGTCTCCCTATGGCATGGGAAGAATAAAATACAAAGATACTTTCAAAACCACTATATAAAACACACACTTCTTTTAGAATGGGAAAAGGTAAAAGCGAAAATTTATATGAAAATACCTGGATGGCTTCCAACAATGGAAGTGTTTGTTCACCCAAACCAATTAACCATGAGAAAATTGTGACATAAAGACAATTTTGAATATTGAAGGGAAACTAAAATCTAGACAAGAACTGGAAGAACAGAGCATTGATCTATCATGGTGGTTATACCTGTAAATTCAAACGAGATATGAAAAAAATGCTAAAACATCTGTTTTTTATAAAAAACCAACAGAATTTGACCAGATCTCATTGGCATCAGATGAAAAATTGTTTAAGAAACTGAATAAGTATATGTTAAGTTTAAAGATGGAAGAGGAACAAGTTAAAGAAACATGGGTAAAAAACCTTGGGCATAGAGTTAGAAAACTGGCAATGCCTTTGGGAAAGAAACTCTAAAATAACAAAGGCGATGGCTTACAAAGAAAACCTGTATAAAATATTTTACAGATGGCACTTACCACCAGTGAGGTTAGCAAAAATGTTTAAAAATATGTCTAACAATTGTTGGAAATGTAGACAAAAAACAGGCACATATTATCGTCTTTGGTGCACATGCCCTAAAGCCAAAAGATTCTGGTCAAGAATACATACGTGGATAGAGAAAATGATAAAAAACATGTAGATTTTAAGCCAGAATTATTTTTGTTAGGTATAATTGTAGAAAATTATGAGAAAGAATGTGTATATTTAATGTTACATGTATTAACTGCAGTGAGAATTGTATTTGCTCAACTTTGGAAAGATGAAGAACTACCAGCGGAGGAAGAGAAAATCAAGAAAACTTTGGACTGTGCATAAATAGACAGACTTATATCAAAAATGAAAGAGAAAGAAGATTCAGAATACTTCAGAACATGGGATTCATTTTTATCAATGGCTAGAAAAATGAGGTAGAGAGAAAGGAGTTTAACATATATTAGTAAATATTGGGACCCAGACAACATGTTGCTTGATGGTTCCTTGAACCACAACTTTGTTTGTTCCCCTCTTCTTATGGCTAGTTACTAAGAACACCTCCAAAGAAGGCTTATAACTTTTTTTCTCCTCCTCTATGACAAGGTATTAATATCAGGCAAGAACTGTGATATATTAGTTTGTTTTTAGACAATCTGAATTGAAGACCATGTAGTGTCACAATCAGCTTGTTTTTAAAATGCTTATGATTCACACTAAACCAGTGGTTCTCAACCTTTTTAATGCCGTGACCCCCAACCGGTCATAAGTCGAGGACTACTCAACCGGTCGTAAGTCGAGGACTACTCAACTGGTGCAGCACCGTTTGCAGAACGGGACTTTTGGCAGGCTCAGCAGGGCAGAGACAGCCTGGACAATTCCTATTGGCTTTTGAAAGCCAATAGAATTAGACTCTATTCAAGAGAGTCTATTCTATTGGCTTTCAAAAGCCAATAGAATAAAAGGGAGTAGCACAGCTAAGGAAAAGGGGGAAAAAATGGCGGACTGCGTTGTTTGGCGACCCCCGTGAAATGGTCGTTCGACCCCAAATGGGGTCCCGACCCACAGGTTGAGAACCACTGCACTAAACCTTATTTGCTCTATGATTCACACATAATACAATATTATAAGAAATTCAGCTCCTTTCAAAAAGTTTAGTTGATTAACTGTATGAAATTAATAGAGACCATACTAACTATGAATTTAATTCTTCTGAATACCGTAGTTTTAAGTCTATGCAATACTGATGAGTTTTTGAAGCCAGCCTTCCTGTACAGAAATGTCAATTACACAAAAAACTAGAAAATATAAGTAAGGTGGGGAATGGAAAGATACATCTGCTAAAGCAGAGTATCTTATGACAAATTCAATATGAAATCAACAGAAAATGCACTTACACTGCTTGGGGCTCCTTAAATCTTCCTACTTGCTGAATGTGATACATGAGGTCACCACCATTCACATACTCCATAACAAAGTACAGGCGATCCTAGCAGACAATGTGAAACCAACAAATAGGTCAGGCAGCGGACCTGTCACTCAGGAATGGTCAGTACAGAAAATTGGGGAAAGAGTCTTAAGTGCATCTGCACAATTAGGACAGAGCCACACGAATTATCAGATATTAAAAGCAATTATGTATTGATCTAATTAGATTAACTTTAAAATTATGTTCTGTATTCAGATGCATAATTTGATCTTCTTTCTTTTTATACCAACAATTATCATTACTACATCATGAGGTGGATTTCTCCCACCCCAGTTTTTAAAACATGAATAAATCAAATTGCTTAATTCTGTATGTCCCATTTCTTTCTTTAAATACTGGTTACCAATGGAAGCAATTTACATTCGAAGAACTTTGCTTTCTAGGATGCGATTCCAGCATCCTCCTTTAAAGAACTTATGGCCAATTTAAATGTCATGAATGCAAGTAATATGCATTCTGTTTGTTCCCTCTGTTAAGCTGCCATTTTCTTTCCACTATTAAGAAATGCAAACCATAGCTTTCAAGAATGAGGGCAGATGTTAAGCTGTGCAACTCCTCCTTCCCATTCTCTTTCCCCCAAGGCAGACTCCCTTGCATTCCTTTGTATGTAGCAAAATAAAATAATAGAATAAAATAAAATAATGTTAGGATATTGAATTTAGTAGCTGGAACAGTAAAGTACAATAGACCAGAACACACAGTTGTAGCTGATTAGTTAGAGAGTGCTGACTCATACATGAGGCAATCTACGCTATGATTGGTTGCTGTAAGTATAAAGGGGGAGTTTCCCTTTTTTCTTCTGAGTGTTCTGTATACTGTTTAATTTACCTCATGATGTTCCTTGTGTTGTTTCTTTCCATCCATCATCTACTGGCAGATATTCAAAAGAAATGCTCTCTAACCAACCTATGGTTTTCCATTCCTTTCTGCTGATATATAAATACATCAGCTGACATTTATCACCCTACCCCCACCTCATTTTCACTCACACAGTTCAAAAACTATGATGTTAGTACAGCAAACGCTGTGTGTGAGAAATCACAGCACAAGAAGATGTATGAACACCTACCACAGTCTGGAAGCAAGAGTGAAGCTGCGTTAAGAAAGGAGGCTTGTCCATCAAAGCTAGAACTCGTTTTTCAACCATGGTACACTCTACATCATCATCTTGAATCACCACATCTTTTTTCAATATTTTGACTGCATACAATTCTTCTGTTCCCTTTCGTTCTGAGAGCATCACCTGGGCAAATATAAAGAGAAGGTGAATATTTTGCTGACTACAGACTACGAGTAATTTCCATTCAGAAATATGGAAAAGCATTTCTAGTAATTTAGTTTCCTACATACATTCATTAACTTGCAGTCTAAGAAATCTGTTTTATTTTTTCAATGTAGCTCTCCCATTTCTTACATAAAAACTACTGAAGACTACCTATTCCAGAAGTTCATAAAAGGATGAATAAGGCCCTAAAATCTCTTCCTCCATGTGGATCCTAATCACCACCTAGTTTTTAGAGAATTTTTGGGAGATAAAATAGCACAAGAAATGCTTAGTATGTCACTGGAGATGAAGAACAATGCTGACGGAATATTGGTCTAAAAGCCTCTGAAAAGGATTACAAAGTGACAATAAAAGCAGCAAAATGCAACTATTTCTCCACTCTTATTGTGTCGGTGGATTGTTGTCCAGTGCCTCTCCTAGGAAAAGATTGGTTAGAATAGCATCTGAAGGATTGCTGTGAGGACTATTTGAGGCATCTCAAGAAAAAGTTTCTTGGATTCATCCTGGGTTGGATTACAGCCGTTCAGATGCAGTTAAGTGAGATATGGATCCATCAAGGTTATTTGGAAAGGATCTGTGCCTGATGGCCCTGAGAAAATAAAGGGCAGCCCACATCCATGTTAGAATCCTGACTCGTCAAAGCTTCCTAGGAAATGATTTGTAGGTGGGTTCAACCAGTGGTGAGAGAGAAGTAGTTCTGCCTTCAGTTAAGGAATCGTTGCTAGACCATACAGTGTTGGATAATTTTTTATCTGTCTCCAACCTTTTCTTTCTGGAGAAGATGGTGGAGAAGGTGGTCACCCTGAAGCTTCAGAGAACTCTGGAAAAAGTGGAATGTATGGACCACTTCAATCTAGTAGAAGAGAATGTTGCACTAAGGTGGCATTGATTGCACTTTTTGATGACCTGCATCTGGTTCAGAACAGGGGGCTATAGGGGGAAGGAATGCGGAAAATGATTTCCCTCTAACCTTTCGGGAAACGCCTTTGTGCCCAAGAAAAAATGGGGAGGGGGAAGATGGAGGCAAATTAGAAATGCATTGCAAAACAAAAACCCGGGGGGAGGCTCCATCCATCCTCCCTTCTCTCTTTATTGCACCCCTTTTAGAAAATCCCTTTTATTTGCAGCAATACCATTGATCATGGTATGCTTTTATTTTATTTTTTATTAAAAGTTTTTTGAAATTTTACAGAAGAAAAAAATTCCCCTCCCCAGACCCTCCCAACCCACCCCAACCCTCCCCCAACCTTCCCAGAGCTGAATACAGGCTTAATTAAAACTTAAAGGAAAAAATTTTAAACACATGTAAACCATAAGCAATTAATTACAATAATTAAACAAATTATAAAATACTTTAAGACCAATATATAAAAAACAAAAAAAAATCTATATCTATCTAGAGTTTTCATTCAATCTCCATAATATCATACTTATATTATATAAAACCTATCCCTCTTTCTTTGTCATCAAACTCAAACATACACATATAAACATTAATTATACCATTAAAACAGAATATTATTTTAAATACTCCTTAAATTATTAAACTTAAACTTCTTATCTAGAATTTTCATTCAATCTCCATAATCTTCTCTCCCCTTTATAAATTATTCAGAAAAAAAACCTAAACATTTTCTAATGTCATACTTATATTATTTAAAGTTTATCCATCATTCTTTATAAACACCCTCAAAAACACACATATAAACATTATTTATAACATTAAAATTCCCTTATACATATTTAAAACAAAGTATTCCTTTAAATGCTCCTTAGATAACTAAACATACACTACCTATCTAAAAATTCCCTTATACATATTTAAAACAAAATATTCCTTTAAATGCTCCTTAGATATCTAAACATGCACTACCTATCTAAATTTTTCATTCAATCTCCATAATATCATACTTATATTATATAAAATCTAATCTATCCCTCTTTCTTTATCATCAAACACAAAAATAAACATATAAACGTTAGTTATACCATTAAAACAAAATACTCTTTTGAATACTCCTTAAATTACTAAACTTAAACTTCTTATCTAAAATTTTCATTCGATCTCCATAATCTTCTCTCCTCTTTACCAATAACCAATTCCATCCACAGTGAACTATAATCTATCAATAACCTGAAAACAATCTATACATTCTTTATCAATCTCTCTTGTCCAAAAACCTTGAGAAAAGTGCTTGGAAATCTGCCCTTAAAGGTTGCTCCAAAAAGTTTATAGATCTTGCTTCTCCCGCAGACTCAGAAACAAATACTTGTGGGGCTTCCTTAACCTCCTTCTTCTGTTGCTCCTTTTCTTTGCGTTTATGTGTTACACGAGTTATCCTCTGCTCCTTCATCTCAACTTGTTGAGGCCCCTCAGTCTGAAATTTCCCAATTTTCATCAATATAGGCTTCTTCAGACTGCAATTCTGCCTTCTTCTCTTCCAAAGCTTTAAACATATAGGTGGCGATGAACATACCCCCAGGACCGAAGTGTAAAACTCTTTTGCTTTGAAAACAGTATTAAGTCTATAACGTGTCCCCAGATAATTCACCACCATTCCAGTCGGGACATCCCATCTGAACAACATTCGCCTCTTTTTAAGTTCATCTGCTAAAAAAGCAAACTCCTTTCGTCTTCTTAAAATTTTAGATGGGATCTCCTTTAAAATTATAACGTCTTGTGAAGCAATCTGAAACCTCTTATTGTAAAAAGCTTGTATAATTTCATTGCGCAGGGATCTTTTCCCAAAATAAATTACCACATCTCTTGGCAGATTTCTTTGCTTTGCCACCACAGAGTTAACTCTAAATGTTTTTTCAATTTCACTAAATATTTCCTCTTTTTCTCTGTCCAGAATCACAGTAAAGTCATTTGCAACCATCTCTCTCAGATCTCCTTGCAGAGACTCTCTCAAGCCTCTAATTTTTAAAGCATATTCCATTTCTCTATATTGAAGCATAAGAATATCATCTTGAGAATTTTCCATCTCTTTTTCCATGCCTTCAAATTTTCCCTCCAACAGCTCCACTTTGTCTGCAACCTCTTCTACACGAAAGTTCAACTTTTCAAGAATAGAGGCAAATCCTTTTAAAGCCAAAACTATATCTTGCCTCAGAATCCTATTATTTTCCACTAAGATCTCTTTCACTTCTCCCCTGATTTGAGATATAGCATTTCCCATTATGTCTTGCAAATCCTTTACCGTTAATAGCTGTGCCAAAGAAAAGGGTAAAACTATTGATTTAGATTGTTGCACTGATGATATCACCGAAGAAGAAGCCACCTTAGGAGCTGTGGGAATTATTGGACGCTTTGGATCCATCTTAGAAAATCTTTACTCCTTCTTAAAAAATACCCAAAAAAAAGAGGGAAGAAAAAAAAAGTTAAGCAAAAAAAAAGGGGGGGAGATTAACTCCCAAAAATCAAAAACTCCTTCAAAAGGAGATCATTATAATAAAAAGAAAAAAGTTAAGAAAAAGCAGGAAAAGGAAAGAGAAAAAAGTAATTAAATAGAAAAAATCCGTTCCGTTATTTTTTAAAAGTACAAAGAACAAAAAAAAAAATCCTTCAAAAAATAAAAAAAAAATTAAACAGAAAGGGAAGATAATCCTCCTAAAATCCAACACAACTCCACCTTAAGAAAAAAATTTTTTTAAAAAGAACAATCTAGTCCATTACATTCCGTTCCACTCGCTTTTTTTTTTTTTTTAAAAAAAAAACTTTCCGATCGTCATTTTACTTTCACTCTCACAAAAAAAAGAGAAAAAAGAAAGGAAATAAAAATCAACCTTTCAAACTAAAGTCCAAATAAAATCCAAAAAAAAAATCCTTTATCCAGCTCTGTCCGCTTTTAAAAGTAACTCACCCGGTCTCTTTAAGCACGGAGGTGGGAGCGGCGTCTTGCTTTGTCCCCAAGGGACAAAGACAGCTGGGAGGCGGAGGCAACCCGAACTCCGAGGGAGCACTGTTTTCACCCCCCAAAGAAAACTTCCTGGGGGGTCTCAGAGGCTCTACCTCTATTCAGGTGATACTCCCCTCCCCCGCTTTGCCCGGGAGGGAGGTTTTGAGCCGCGGAACAGCTGGTGCCTGCTGTTCTCTGCGATTCTAACGCTTTCCCAGGAGGACGGCTACAAAGTAGCCGCCATCACCGACGCTAACCCACCGGAAGTCGATCATGGTATGCTTTTAGACAAGCTCAAAGGGTTGGGGATAGGTGACATTATGTTACAATAATTCAATTCTTTCTTCCAGGGTCAATTTAAGTCAGTGTTGATGGGAAAGAGGCCCTAAGCCTCTTCTGTGAGAGGATGTATCTCAGGGGTTGGTTCTGTTCCAGCTCTTATACATGAGGTTGCTGGATGAGGTTACTTATCAATATGAGGATAGGTATAATCAATGTGCTGATCCTGCTCAGTTATAGTTCTCAATTCTTGGCTGTCTAAGGTTTGGGTCCCATAGTGTCTTCTGGTGGGGCCAAGGAGATGTGTCTTTTCTGTCAATACATTGGTCCTCCAGAAGAGCACTTTCCCTGAGATTCGAACAGCTTCAACCCTGCCTGCCTTTTAAGACCCAGCTTTCTCCCCTCAGGTCAGGATCAATGGTTGTTATTGTTTAGTTTTTATCTTGCTGCCCTGAAGTGCACATGATTGGGTGACTATATAAATTGATTAAATGGATAAATAAAAGAGTCAATCATCTCTCCTATATGTTTCTTGATACTGTATAAAGATTACATATTATTAAATGGATGATAATTAAGAAGCACAAAATAGCTTTGTCGAAAACAAATTTCACAACTCCATTTCTTTGCACCTCCATCAAAGCACAAACGATGACACCTCATTAACAGCTAAACTATATTTTGCTGGTTTGCATATTCTAATTGTAACATGAAGTTGCTTAAAGATAGGGCAAAAATATTCTTGGAAAGCTAGTAGTCTAGTTGCCCTCTGCTTATAGAATCTTGAGCAAATACATGTAATATATTCTCCAAATCCCTTAATGTTTTCAAAGCAGTATTTACTTGACTCTCAAACTGTACAGAAGCATGATCCTGAATAGCAAGTTTTATTAGGCTTACACTAAACCTTTATTATGTTTACACTAAATCTTATATGTGTCACCTGAGAATTAAATCTCACTGAATTCAGTGAAGCTAATTCCTCATGTAAGCAAATGTAGGATTGTAGGTACATAGGCGAATATTGGCTTGCAGCTTTGTTAACAGAACAGCTAAAGGAATTACTAACAAATCAGCTGCATCTCTAACATTTTTCTCCCTTTCAGGTTTAAAATCATAGAATCATTGGGTTGGGAGGTACTCTGGAGTTCTTTAGACCATTCTAGACAATGGCTGTCCAATCTTTGTCCAAAAACCTTCAGTCCAGGTTCACCTGTGACTTCAGGAAGCAGGCTGTTCCACTGCTTAATAACTCTCACTATCAGGATGTCCATTCTCTCTGAGGGCAATACAGGAAGACCATTGTTATTTTGAGGAATTCATGACATATTTTCATTTCTCCCCCACATTAAGAAAAGTCTAGAAGTTTAGAGCTCATTCTAAGCCCATCATCCCAAAGTTGCTTTTTCCAAAAGGCAACTGGGCTTTCTTGTTTTTTTCTTTGAAAATGTTTTGCTTCTCATCCATTTGCTTCTTCTTGGATGAGGAACTGAAGGAGCTTCTTGGATGAGAAGTGAAACATTTTCAAAGAAAAAAAAAATCAAGAAACTCCAGTTGCCTTTTGGAAAAAGCACCTTTGGGACAACTATGACTTAAATGATTGGGAATCTCCATGGGCATTCTGAGCTGGTCTGCTTCCCCCCCCCCTCTTGCTTGCTGAATAAAAGAGATGGAGAGGAATCTTCATAGAGCTTCAAGGCTTTTCTTGTTGTGAAAGCCTCAGATTCTGGATTCCCATCCCAGAATCATGTGCCAGCCAGTCAAGGTCAGGTGTGCCATAAAGTCCTGGTGCCAGGTTTTGATTAAAAAAAAAACAATCCTTGGAGTTGTTGTTGTTGTTGTTGGTCTGAGGTGTAACTGCTGTTGTTATTAAGGAGCTCCTGGCAGCTTGTGAGAGATATGGGTATTAACTTGCTTGGCATGTAGGCTTTTTATGTTATGCTTTTCAATCTCTTTGAATAATAATAATAAAGCTTAAAATCCCTTTATTTACTGGGGGACTTATTGTCTCTGGATCCAAAAAAAACCCGTATGGGTCTCTCTCTCTCTCTCCCTCCCTCCCTCTCTCTCTCTTTCTCTCTCTCCCTCTCTCTCTCTCTCTCCCCCCCCCCCATCCTCAGGTTCTTTATCATCCTCAGGGCCTATGAAAACAATAAGTCCAAACCTTCTTTGTTACAGTCCTTCAAGTATTGGAAGACTGCCATCATGTCTCCCCTTAGTCTTTTTTTAAAGGTTAAATATACCCCCTTCTTTGAACTGTTCTTCATAGGATTTAAACTCCAAGCCTCTCACCGTCTTTGTTTTTATTCTCAGCGCTTTTTCCAGTTCCTCAGCATGCTTCTTACATTATGGCATTTAAAACTGGACACAATATTACAAGTATGGTCCAACCACTGTAGCACAGAACGTTACTATGATTTCTTGTGATCTTGACACTACGCCTCTGTGGATGCAGCCCAAGATTGCATTGGGGTTTTTTTTTTCTTTTTTTTGGCAGCTGCAACACATTGCTGGTTTATGTTTAAATCTGTGGTCTACCAGGACAACCACATTTTTCTTGCTAGTGCTAAACCAGGGATCACCTATTTTGAACCTGTGTATTTGGTTTTTCCTATCAAAGTGCAGAGCCCTATATTTCTTTCTGATGTATTGACATTTCTGTAAATTATTTACCAAAACATAAATGGATGGGGTAATTTATTTATTAAGGATGATCTGCTTTTCTAGTTTTTATTTGTATAATTCATGACACCTTTCCCCAAGCATTTTTGGTAAGTGGGACTACCGCTCAGTACTTGTAAAGTCTGAATGAATACACAGCAAATACACAGCAAACTTGTAAAAATGTTATTTTGATCTAGTCCCTTGGCCCTTGATTCTAAAGAGTGCCTTCTTTACTTTGTCTCGAATTCTTCTTACTTTAGTCTCTCTAAAAGCAAGATAGCATGATATTGTACCCTCATTCACAAAACTTGATACTTAAGTTTGTTTTCATGGTGGACAATATATAGAATCAAGATACCATCTGACTCCAGATCAAACTGCCTGGAGGTTGAGCTTCTTTTAAAGTAAAAGGTGGTTTTATTCTGATCATGCAGTTGAATCATTACTGTATGTGACTTTCTGACTGTCAATAGATTGCATGTACTAATCTGTGTCTGAAATAACCATGTATCTACTCAAACACGGGTAGATTTTGTTCTGCTAGCTAAAGTACCATATGATTTAAGCTACCATCACTTGATTAAAATTGCATCTGATTCAGTATAAAGTTTTGAATTACCCTCCATTAAGAAGCTAGCATTTTCCCCCCAGGAAATCTTGACACCCTGGAACTTCTTTACACCTGATGAAGCACTCCTGCTTAAGATATTTCTGCCATGCCTACGTTCAAAACTTCAGTTTATTTTAAAGGTACAAATATGTCACTGGATTTAAATTATAAATATGTTGTTGATCTTTAATTTCAAACCAGAAATTATAGATTCAGGAACGGTATGAAAAACATTTCATTCTTCCCAACTTTTGATTGAGCTTATTCTGCATTACTGTCAGTACAAGGAGCATATGCACCACGACTTTGGAAGTGTTTGGGAGAGTACATTGTCCGAATTTGGGTGCTAGTTTAGTTCCCCCCCCTTTTTCAAGACCCAGAAGCATTATGTCTCTTCCACATTTCTTTCTTGTTATTTGGGTATGTATTTTAGAAATTGTGTTGTTTATAAAGAACCCTGCAAATTATCAATAGTTCTTACCTTCCCAAAGCTCCCTTTTCCAAGCACCATTATAAAGTTGAAGTCTGTTAGTTTAACCCGATCAAGATTATTGGATGGTAAGTTACAAGTCCGATCTTCAATTGGAGTTATAACTTTGTTAGCTGATGGGCCAAGTCTGGCTTTCTAAACAAACAAAGAAAATGGCTGTCAGACCTGAAAAGTGGTTTTAGTAATGATGAAAGAATAAGTTTGAAGGTTTGTACTTTCAGAAGATTCTTCATAGTAAATAGAGAACAAGCACAAATTCAACTGCCCATTCAAATATTTCAATTATGGATATTTTTAAAGTGATACAAAGTAGTATAAAAGTAGAAGCAACCACTTTTGGAAAGCAAAGCAAAGTCTAAACAATGTAAGCTATTACTTTCATGCTAAAATTTCAAAGTTCAATTGCCTTTTTTTTTTCTTTTCAATCAGTGTTCAAAATAAAATGCAGGCTTATATGATCCTAGGTATTGCCATCTGTTCAGATGTAAGAGTCCCGTTCGGTTTAAAATAGTTTATTCTCAATTGGGAGTAGGATGGCAGCTTGAAAGTAATAATATACTAAACATTTTAATGATTTAGTTGAAATTCACACTTCTTAGAAGCATCATTTTTACTATATCAGTTTGTGATGCTTTTTTAAAGGAAAATTTTATTGTTAACTGAATAGATAGCATATTGAATAAATCATTGATGATTTTCAAGCATTATTATTTATATCTATTTATATCTAATCAAATGCTGATTTCAATGTAAAAAATATTGTATTCAAAGCCTTTTGCTAAGGGTTTTATGACTTGCAAAAGCATACACTGGAATAACTAAAACAGCAAATCTTTATATAGAGTATTTTTCAGTTCATGTTTTGTCCATTCATGAATGACTGCAAAGTTCACCTCCAAGAAAATTTCTACCTTAAAATCCAATTGCAAACATTATGAACATTATGAAGCAATCAAGTTGTTTGAAATCTGACCTAATATACCAGTAGTTGCTCTGAGACTCTCCTGCCTATCACGAGAATGGAAAAGCAAAGCAAACTGAATTATTTAAATAACCTTAATAATTCCAATTCTTTTTTTTTGTAACAAGTTTTATTAATTTTTTAATTTTTACATCCAAGTAATTAGGAAACATCGTGGTGATAGGGTAATCAATAGTCCAATAACAGAGTCATTCATATAAATCTAAGGTTACATCATTAAAGGTTTTCTCTCTCTATTTTCCTTAATTATTATGTCATATTCAATTTAATACATTTCTTAGTAGAGCTCAATCAATCAATGCATTTATGAACACAATTTTAGTTATACATATTCAAGTCCTGTTTTTAAGTTTTATTTAATTCCAATTACCCTGTTCGAATTTGGCCTTTGATAACCATAATGTTTAAACTTCGGGTAAACCTCATTTCATTACAAGATAATTATCACAGCTAGAGTACATATATTGTTCCAAAATTTAGGTTCTTATCTTATTTCATTAATATATTCTATTTCTCATCCTAATAGCTCCTCATTTACTAATAAAATATCTTTCATTGTCACAAACCCATTTCCATATAACAGTTCAAAACTATAATCTAACAGTTAATTTTCATTTCCATTATAAATCTAAATACTAAATATTAAATCAATCAATATCTCTAAAAATCTCCTTAACCCACTAAGTGAGATTTTAAGTCCCATTTTTAAATCTAACTCTGGCTTTCTTTTTGTGCCAATCAGGCTTCCATACTAGTGCCTTTAAATCCTCAGATGTGTCTCCCTTCATTCTCACATATGCCTTTTGAATCAAGGGAGAACATCCAGTTATCAATTTTTCAAAGAAACTAGCCCTTTTATTGTTATTAGATTGTTGCCCTAATGAGTCAAATCTACATGTTTGGTTTAACATGTTTGTCATCAGTTCAGTCTGGACTACTACTACTACTACTACTACTACTACTACTACTACTACTATTACTTCTCCTCCTCCTCCTCCTCCTCCTCCTCCTCCACCTTCTTCTTCTTCTTCTTCTTCTTCCTCCTCCTCCTCCTTCTTCCAGTTTTGTCTGGGTAGAATAAAAGGTCAATATCCAGTGTTGTCATTGTTGTTTGCTAGTCTAGATTGTCAAAGTTCTCACTATGTTGTAATTGTTGTTCAGTTCCTTTTGCTTTGGGAATTACAAGTATTATGGTTAGAGTCAGTATTTGATTATCAAAGTTTTCAATAGGTTGTGTGTATTGTTGTGCAGAATCCTCTTTAATGTTGGGTTGTTCCTCTTCTGTTGTTTTTTGGTTTGTAAGTTAATCAATTGGAGTCTGGAGTTCAATTTGTAGTTTGGGGATAACATCTTTGGCTTTCACTCTGGAGTTCATTAGCTCAGTGGCTTCAAGAATTTTTTCAAGTATAAGTTTATAATTAAGTTGTGGGTAAAGTTCCTCCATTTCTATAGTGGTTAGAGATAGTCTTTTAGTGGAGCTATGTTTAGAAAGAGTCAGCCAATGTCCACCTCCACAATTTCTAGAAGTAGTTTTTGCCACCCAGCTGTTTCCAATTCTTATCTTTTTTGATAATGTGAAGGGCAAATCAAGGGAGTCAGCAAGCTTCAGTCAGAAAAATTCAGTTGCTGTGCTAGGCTTTGCCACAAGATGTCCCCAGTAGGTTATAAAAATTTTCCCCAGATGACAATTATGCTTTTATCCAGTTAAAAAAGAAAGAAAGAAAGAACAAAAGGATATTTTGCACGGTTAATAGATAGATAAAATGATAAGTCTCTATAATAGGAACTTTTAGGACCCCAAAGTATCTAAAAAAATAAAAATCCAGTTATTTGGTTATAGAAATTAGTTATTCTTTTCTTTTTCCAAAGCTCAGATTCCCAAGGTATGTAAATGTTGCTGTATTGAGAGCAGGGAAGAAATTTCAGGAGGCTTTCACAGGAGGGTAATTAGGGTAGAAGAGAGGAAAGGAAGGGTCTCATCCAGATCTTCCATGGTGCTTAGTAGTGCTTTTGGCTTTTGGCTGGTATGGCTAAGTGATTGGCCATGTTAAGATCTTTTCTTTGTTGATCCAAAGGAGCTGCCTCGGATCAAACAGAAGGGCTGCCACCCTTCCATGATCTAGCGAGGGTCCTCCTCGGTGGTGGTCATCCCTCCAGGGCGACTTTCGACCCTTTCCAAGGTCTTTGGCGAAGGAAAACTGGATGGCGGAAAGCTCTCCCGACATGTCCACTGGTGCTGCGATACGGAACCGGAAGCCCGTAATTCCAATTCTTGATCTAGCAGATTCATTAAAAATACTTGGCAAAAATAGGTTCATTAAAAATACCTCGCAAAAATACAATTTGGGGTGCTATTCCTTCACATGGTTATGGCTGTGAGGATTGTACTTGCCAAACACTGGAAAGAAAAAGGGATGCCGACTTTTGAAATTGACTGAATTAGCAGAGATTGTGAAATTAACTGCTCTGATTAGACATAATGGACTATATGGCTTTATAAGAGACTGAAAACCGTTCATGGACTTTCTACACACTAAATATAATAACAGATGGTTAACAGGGATTTGAAAATTAGTGTAATGTTTAGTAAAAGTGTAGGAGAATTTATTGCTTTTTCTTTTCTTTCAGCACCCAGTGTCAATGCTGTTGACAACTGAAAATGCAGCTATTTTCTCTTCTCCTTTACTATGCTTTTCTTGCTTTTAGAAATCAGGTGCAGCAGGGGGGGTTTGGATGAAAGCTCAGCTAGCCATAATAATAATGCTGCTGTGGGAACCCAAGGACAAGCTGATAATGTTTTGGCGGGCTGAAGAGCTGGGGAGAAAGCCCCCACTTTTAGCTAATTGGGGAATGTGATTTATGACAGTTTATTGGGGGGTGGGAATTGCACTTTGTTACTTTGTATCCGGGGGAAGGGAATTTAGTTTTGGGGTTCAACTATGTAGTGCTGATACTTTGTTTCCCAAATAAAATGTTCTTTAAGGAAGGATTTTGCCTGGAAGTTCTTTCAATGGGTTTCACCTATTGGAACCATGGCACCCAGCCAGGGTGGATGCTACATGTTAAATGTTAAATTTAATTGATCACTTTTTCCTCTTTTCTTGCACACTATTTTATTTATTTTTTATTGTTGTTAGGTTGAATGTTTGTTTTTACTTCATTTTGTTTGTTTGTTTTACTGTTTTGTATTTTATTTTTTATGATAAAATTAAGATAATATTAAAAAAAAATTTGGCAGCATGTGAACGAATCTTTAAAAATCATGTTCAGAAATTAGTATTGATAAGAAAACAAAATAAAGAAGATAATTTAAATCCAGTCCTTTAGGGATTGAAACAGCAGCACTTCTTAAGAGTATAGAAAACATCAAGAGATATTATGTCCAAGGAATCCGGATGCTCTCTGACATCTCCTATTTACATCAAGCAATAGATTGTTTATCAAGAAATGTTTGGAAAGGTACAATGTAAATATCCAAAGTCCAGAAATATACCTTGAAAGTTACTATTGGAAGTTAAAGAAGGTCCCCTAAAAGGCATTTGCAAGTGTTCAGTTCTGTGTTGCCAAACTGAGCACAATTTGCCAAATGTACAAGAAAAAATTTATAATCACACAGGACTGCATTTGAAATTATTCATTTCAGATTTGGTAGAAACATCAAATGTTGTATTGCTTCTGGTCTGTGCTGTAATGCTGTGTGAAAAGCCATGTTAACCAAAAGGATCAAGGGCTATCTGATATCCCTTTTAACTGGGGTGAAATATCTGCAATATTCACATGCCCATTTTAACATTAGGGACTTGAAGCATTGATTCACAATGTGTCACTACATAATCTGTCATTCTTCTTCTGTGATTTCAAAATGATAATACAGAACATGCCCAGTTCCCACGGTTGGTGACCCACTGCCATTAAGGAATAACCCTCCATATTACTTGAGATTGAACAGAAGAATAAGCCAATTTTAGTTTCCATTTTGGGACAGTTGAATATTATTGTCCAAGATACACATCTCAACCTAAGTCACATAATCAGCTATTCTTTGTTGTTCTGAAATAGGCTCAGAACATCATAACCCAATGAATTATTGACATATTGAAGGCAAGTGCAGGGATATGAAATATTACTCAGTACACAAAATACAATTAACATG